CCCTCACCCCCCCCCCCCCTCCCCCGCCCCTTCTTTTTTTGATAGGTACATCACTTTAAACTTTTGAATACAATCCAAGTTAAGATACAAAACCTAATTTTATATAGTCAAAAATGCAAGTCATGTTAAGATGTAACTGGTCTTTGCATGGTTTCTATCATTGAAAATTGGAGAGATGCTTAGTGTTTAGGGAAGGTTCACAGATTTTTTACGGGCAAGACATTTGACAATTTTGCATTGAAAGATAGTTAAAAAAAATCGACAAAACAAGTGCTGCCAGCATAGCACTTGTAGAACTACTTTGAACCATTCCCCTGTACAAGGGGAATTGTTCTGAAAATTGATACAATTATAGCGAAAATGTTGTGATTAATGTGCTCTTTTTAAAGTCAAGGACCAATTTGTTATTGGTGCAATAAATTGAGGATCAATAGAGTGATTATGTGTATATGGAAATAATGCATGGAATCACGTCTTTTATTGGGACCGTTCTTCTCATACTCTCTCTCTCTCTCTCTCTCTCTCTCTAATATCTAGAGAAAGTTCCAAAAATCTGATGGTTTGTATGTCTATTGGGAAGTACAAGATGAGACGTATGGATTCAAATAGTACCAAAATTTTGGGACGTTGATGTTTCGGAATACTCATATCGCACATTTGGTAGAGTTTCTACTCCTTGTAAATGATTTTCTAAAGGAAGATAGTTATTAAAAAAACTCCTTCTAATCAGATAAAATACTTTCAGGAAGTTATTCAAACATTAGTTTCAGACTGAGAAACAAGACTTAGAATGTGTGATTGATAGTTGTACATTTTAATTGAGCATAAAATGAAGATTTTCGTGACTTCTGATTAAAAAAAAAAAAAAAAGAATATATTCTCTGTTTAGAAGTCAACTCACTCGACTGTTGGATCAATGATCTTCTAATTACATAATTCATAAGTATATATACAGCCGAATAAAAAATAGTATATGTGTCGAATGATGAACATTCCAAGCTGACTCTAGCGTGACTATTATACATTTAACAGCTAATTAAATAAATAATTATGCATTGATGTGATTAAATCATTATTATATATAAGTAATCTAGTTAGTGGGCTGATTGTATTATTATTTTAATTACTACGATACTAATTGTCGTACGAATTAAGTCAAAAGTTTTTGATTAGTGAGGTCATTGGATTCTAACCTAGGCTCTTAGCAAGAATTCGATGCATTATCAATAAAGATAAGAATAATAAATTTAAAGGGATTTTTTTAATAAAAAAGGATCATTTACCATAGGTCCCTAAAAATATATTGTTTTTTTTTTCTTTTTTGTTACAATTTAGTTTGTATACGACATGTTAACTATACTTGGCATGTGGTTGGTGACGAACAATTGTAAAATTTGAAATATTACAATTTAAAAGTTTTAAAATAAGTAATCTATCATATTATTGTAAAACAATATAATACAATCTCGTTATAAGAAGCGAATAAACCACGCGAAAAAGGGCTCTCATCATAGATTGCCTTGGACTAAAATGTTACATTTTAAAATATTTTCTTACCAAGATAAGGCCATTATTAAAAAAAGTTGTTATACTGTGAGCTAGCTCGTCTCTATAGTCGATGTCTATATCCATAGGCCAATATTTATAAAAATATAACTATAAGCATAAAATAAGTAAGAGCCTGTTTGGGAATGATTTTGAGAATTGATTTTTTGACTGTTAAAAGAAAAGTGGAGTCCACCTGTGAAAGAAGAAGTCAAATATGACGACTAAAATAGTAAATTAACGATCAAAAAATCAATTTTTTAGAAAAAAAAAAATTACTCCCAAACATGCTCTAAATAAGAAAACAAGATCAGAGGCTATGGAAAGAGAGCATATGGTTCGGCCAGCTTTTGCTTAGGTCTGTGATTCCCACATTGCATTGAAAATGACAGTCAAATGAAGAACGGCTACCTACCTATCTAATAGGAGAAATTCTAGGTTTAAATATTACTTCTTCTACTTTTTATTTATTTATTTATTTTTATTTTTATTGAGTTAATTTGTTATATTTACCGAAAAAGCAACTTCACCCATAAGATAAGCTTAAAAATTATATACAAATATACCCTACA